TTGAAACAAAGATATCAAAAAATTAATAAAAAAAAGAGATATCTAAAAAAAGAATTAAGAGGCAGGATATAGAAGACCTTATAAAAAAGAAAACTCTAAATAAAATAACAAAAAAATCAAGACCAAGAATTTCAATAATGACTCTAATAGAAAACAAAAGTTTTAGTAATACACAAGTTAAAATTCTACAAAAAAATATAATAGATTAGGTAATAAAGATTATATATCTAGCAAGCAGAAATAATATGCAAAATAATATTAAAAATTAAAAAAAAAAAAAAAGATTTATTGATGAAATAGATTTAGTAGACCAGATCCTATATAGCTACCAATATATAGAGAAAGTATAATTTATTATAATAGCAGAAAAAATTATAAGAATTAAGAATCAGAGAAAAAAAGAAAAAACATAATAGTAGAAATAGTAAAAAGAATCTTATTGAAAGTACTTGAAAATCAAGAAAAATTCATCAAGATACAAAAAAATTTCTTGGAAGAAATTCAAATCTAAAAAAAAAAAAAAGAAAATGCTTGAATATAAAAAAATAAAAAAGAAGGCCCAAACAGATGATTCAAGAATGAAAAATTATAAGATTAGAAATAGCTTCAAAGAAATTAGAAAGAGAAAAAACTTACAGAAAAATACTCTCAAAAAAGATTTTTAGAACAAGTTTTTTAGAAAAAAAAAAATAAAAAAAGTAAAAAGAAAAATAAAAAAAGACTTCTAAAAGCTGTGTTATCTATTAGAAAAAACAGAATAAATTAAAAGAAAAGAAGAAGAAAACTTAAATACAATCAAAAGAATTTTGACAATAATATCATAATAAAAATAAAAATAGATATTAGAATAGGATTAGAGATAGATTATTGTTTTAAAAAGGATAAAGTAGAAGAAAATAATTGCTAATTAAATATAGTTAAAAATTCTTTTGAACCAAAACTATCCTGTTATAGTTTTATTAACTAGTTTGATATAGTCTTTTGATATGAGCAATAGTCTTAACCAGTATGACAGACCGCATTTAGACATCCAATTGAGAGTAGCTAAGTAATATTAAATCTGTAGCTTTAGATAGTTATAGTATATATTTTGTATATATTTTGATCTAACAAAGATACTAGCAAAGCTACTAACAGTTTCAAAAAAAAAAATTAAAATAAAATTATTTATTATTCTTCTTCTATTTCTACTATATTCTATTCTTTTTTATTATTTGTTATTTACTATATACAGTATATATTGATTAGTATTGGCAAATACAAAAGCCCAATTTTTTGTCTTTATATCAAAAATATTTTTTTTATTTAATAATTTGCAATTATTTAAACATATATTGTTAGAGCATTAGTAAAGTAATAAATTTATATTAGTAAAATTTAATACTCAAAATTTACAATAAAGAAATAAAAAAAATAAATAAAATTATAAGCCAATAGAAAAAACATAAAGTGACAACCCTGATTTGATATATCGATATCACCGTACACATGGTTCAAGTAGAATCTACACGGGTCGACACTTTTTTTTGCTATGGCTAGGGTACTAAAATTCTTCAAACACTCGTTATAAATCTTACCTCTAAAACTGACCCCTAACCCTATGTTTCGGTGGCTTATAGCACAGTTGTATTATTCGGGGCTCTATTTAGATGCAACCGAATTTTGATAATCATAATTGCAATATTATCAACCAATCACATAAAATAAAGAGATAGAATTTTTTCAGAAAATTAAGAATGGATACTAAAGAACACAAAGCTCATAGACCTCGTCAATCTGGCGCAAAGAAAGATAAAAAAACAAAGAAACAGCAAAAAATTGAAGAAAAAAATCCAAAGGTATGTTAAACAAATATCAGTTGTAAACTATATCTTTACTGATTAACTAATTTGAACTTAGGCTTTCGCACCAGTATCTGGAAGAAAAGCTGAAAAACTTGCAAGGCGCAAACAAGAATTAATCCAAAAGAAGCTCCATGTTCCACTCGTAGATCGAACACCAGTAGAGCCACCTCCGATTATTGTTTCGGTAGTTGGACCACCTCAAGTAGGTTCATATGTGGGGTCGACAGACAAATTGTACACAATCCATTTAATCTTTTAAAACTAAAAAATAGGACTATATTGAAAATTATTAGACTGGCAAATCGACGTTAATAAAATCCCTTGTAAAACGATATACTAAGCACAATCTTACAGAAATCAAGGGACCTATTACAGTCGTTAGTGGTAATTATTAAGTTTTTTTTTTTTTTTTTTTTTACCGTAATTTGTTAAATGTTATATCCTTCTTACACTTTCCTTGTTAACGTATTAAAGGCAAAAAAAGGAGGATAACATTTATTGAATGCGCAAATGATATGAATTGCATGATCGATATTGCAAAAATAACAGATTTAGTGTTATTATTGATTGATGCAAGTTTTGGATTTGAAATGGTAAATGTGGAATTTTAAAACTTTTTAATTTTAACCATGATTCAGCATTCTCTAAATGATTATCCTAAATTCCTTATAGGAGACTTTTGAATTTTTGAACATACTGCAAGTTCATGGGTTTCCAAAAGTCATGGGAGTTCTTACACATCTGGACAAATTCAAAAATAACAAAACGCTAAAATCAACTAAAAAGCGATTAAAGCATCGTTTCTGGACAGAGATTTATCAAGGCGCAAAGCTTTTTTATCTTTCCGGAATAATAAATGGTCGGTATCCGAACCAGGAAATTCAGAATTTATCAAGATTTATTTCTGTAATGAAATTTCGTCCTTTAATATGGAGAAATACACATCCATATTTGGTTGCTGATCGTGTAGAAGATTTAACCGACCCTGAAGAAGTCCGGCAGAATCCATTATGTGATCGTACTGTGACTTTGTACGGATATCTGCGGGGAACAAACATGAAACAAAACATGAAGGTTAGCCCAAATTAATATTGGTTTATTTTTATTTATTTATTTTTACAATCCTAATGTGGTTAAAATATTGTCCTTTGTAAAGGTACATATCCCTGGCGCTGGCGATCAATATTTGGATGATATTTCAATTCTTCCCGATCCATGTCCATTACCTGATAAAGCCCGAAAAAGTTTAAGCGAAAAGCAAAAACTCATTTATGCCCCAATGTCGGATGTCGGTGGGATTATGTACGACAAAGATGCAGTATATATTAATATTCCTGGGAGTTTCACAAAGACTGATGATAATGGAGGTTGTTGGAAATAATATTTTGATTTACTTATATTTCAAGATTTTGAACATTTTTAACGTATGATATCCAACAGAATCCGAGAAGGGACCAGGCGAAAAGATGGTGATTAGTTTGCAAGATGCTTCCGACACACTTGCATCTAAATTACAAGAAGCATCGCTTTCGATTTTTGCAAATTCTGTCCCTTTAAAAGCTTCTGATTTGAATGAAAAGCTTTACGATGGTATGAGATTACACAATAATGATAATAATATTATGATTCGTGGATTTAACAATAATTTTCTAATTTGCTCAGAATCAACTGAAAATAATAAATCGGAACGTACTCGACGAAGGGTAACGTTTAATGATGATGAAAATGATGAAAATTATATGAATGAAGAAGATTCATCGGTAGAAAACAATAGTGAGAGCGCTTCTTCTAATGATGATGATGATGATAGTGATGACGACAATGATGTAAACGATGATAATGAATTAAATGGATCTGATAGAAGAGCGGCACTGACCAAGTATGAAGTTGGAGATTTAGAAGGCAATATCAATAAAGAAATTGCATTTGTTGAAAGTGATAGTGATATAAGTGCTGAAAATGAAGAGTTGGATGAGAATGGGTCTGACCTTGACGGAGCATTAAGATGGAAATCTAATTTAACAAATAAAGCAGAAAATATGTTCAATGCAAATCGTAGAGTAAATATTATGCAATTAATTTATGGCGAAAAGACGCCCGATGAAGTAATGTATAATGATCTTTCAAATTCAGCTCGAGATGTGATGAATAAAAATGATGTGCATCCTCTTAAATCCGAAGATTTCTTTATACTTGCAAATAATGACACTGGGGATACCAAGATTTTGAAGGCAATTGACTCTTCTAAATCATGCTTCGAAAATGAGAACCTCGATGAATGGGATGATGAAACGGTTAGTTAGTATTTTATGGTTTATGGTTTATGCATTTAGATTGAATATACAAAACATCCAATAAACTGTACTTTTTTTTTGCTTAAATTATTATTAGGTGCTCGAATCTATAAGAAATAGATTTATTACAGGAAGTCTTGAAGATGAAAATCCTACTGGGTTGAATAATTCAAATGACAATGAGGATGAAGTATGTGGTGATTTTGAAGACCTTGAGACTGATGAAGTTGTAAAAGCGATGCAATCAGAAGAAACAAAAGAAGAACTTGAGCAAGAGGTTCTTACTCAAAAACGGATTTTACTAAAGAAAAAGTTTGATGCAGAATATGATAACAAAGATGATGAACCTAAAGCTGATTTTTATGATGAATTGAAAGAAGGAATTTCCAAGCAATTACAACTGAATCGTGAAGAATTTGATGATGATGATCCACATACTAGAGTAATGGTTGAGGGTTTTCGCCCAGGAGCTTATGTTCGAATTTTATTACAAGGAATGCCTTGTGAATTTGTCAAATACTTTGACCCAGTGTACCCAGTAATTGTTGGTGGGCTGCTAACTACCGAAGAGAATTTAGGATTGATCCAGGTTTGTCATATAATGAATATAATTCTTATTATTAATATTTGACACGAATATTTATTGCAACTATATAACCATATTTAGGTTCGCATCAAACGTCACAGATGGCATAAAAAAATCCTAAAGAACAAGGACCCACTCATATTTTCTCTTGGTTGGAGACGTTTTCAATCGATACCCATTTATTCTTTGAATGATAACACGAGAAACAGAATGCTAAAATATACACCAGAACATATGCACTGTATAGCAACCATCTATGGTATATATTATATATTGTTTAGTCGCTGGATTTTTTACATCAATATTTTAATATTAGTTGTATATTTGATTTTTATTAGGACCTATTCATCCCCCAAACACCGGCTTTTGTGCGGTACAATCTGTATCAAGAGACAATATAGTAAGTTTCTTAAACAGAAATAGATTTGTCTTTTTCATTTCGAATTGATCACAATATTTCGTAACTTAATATTTTTTAGGCAGGATTTCGCATAAGTGCTACTGGAACAGTTCTTGACATTAATCATTCGTTTGAGATTGTTAAAAAATTAAAACTTGTTGGTACACCTTACAAGATATTCAAAAATACTGCTTTCATAAAGGATATGTTTACTTCAGCATTGGAAGTAGCGAAATTCGAAGGTGCTGCAATTAGAACTGTGTCGGGCATTCGTGGACAAGTAAAAAAACCATTATCGGTGAGTGGATACTGATAATCAATTATTCCAAATGCTTTTTACTAATTAAATTTACTTCATATAGAAGCCGGAAGGACATTTCAGAGCTACTTTTGAAGATAAAATTCTAATGAGTGGTAAATATATATTGACTTATTGATTATATGATGTTTTTGTTTGCTAATTCGCATCATATTAGATATCGTGTTTCTCCGAGCTTGGTATCCCGTTACGCCAAAAAAATTTTATAATCCTGTTACGTCACTGCTGCTGTCGACGAAAACAAAGTGGCAAGGCATGCGTTTGACAGGTGAAATTCGAAGAGATTTAAATATTAAAACACCTATTAATCCCGAATCTCATTATCGAGTAAGTATTGCATTATTTGTTTTAGCGTTCATAATATGACATTATATTTTAATGATATGATTGACAATAGAAAATTGAACGAGCAAGTCGTCGCTTCAATCCGCTTCACATTTCAAAGTCATTACAAGCTGGATTACCATTTGCCTCTAAGCCGAAATTGTTTAAAAAACTATCTAGGCCGACATACATGCAAAAACGTGCCGTAATTTTAGAACCACAAGAGAAGAAAATATATACGCTTATGCAACAAATTCAAACATTAAAGAAAGAAAAAGATAGAAAACGTAAAGTAAAACAATCGGAAAGACGAGAAGTACATGCCAAAAAATCTGCAAAACAAGAGGCGCTCTTGGCAGAAAAAGAAAAGAGAGAGAGAAAAGATTATTTTAGAAAGGAGGGCTTAGCACAAAAAAGGGTCAATAATTCTTCAGATGAACATAAATCTAAAAAAGCCAAAATTTAATTAGCTCTATTTGCTGAAAAATTATCTATTACTATTTTATGGAAAAATAATATGTAGAAATCTAGATTGTATGTTTACTGATATTCTGGTGCGCTTATTTAGAACATAATAATCGAACCAGATCCGCTTTATTATACTTGTCACACAAATCCTAAATTATTATAGTTTGGGTTTGTCCGTGCCCAATTCCAAACTCTGACCAAATTAATATCAAAAACTTTTATCATCCAAACAGATATGTTTTTATAGTTATATAGTGTGTATTTGCAAATATCAAAACCACTTTCATTTAATTTTCGTTACTATATAATTGGGTTGAGAGTAAAGATGGGCAAAATTATTACGTATTCTTAATATATTAATATTATCTAACGCTAAGATTTTGCAATTAGTGTTTGTAGTCGACCATTATTTATCGACTTGACCAAGTCGATATTGAAAAATCGGCTTAGCCGGCTAAGTCATAGTCGATCATCTTTGTTTAACCTTCGCTCATATTTTATGTTCGTTTATTTTCTTTTCGGAGGGTAATGTAAACCACCGATTCGGCTTAAATTTGATTGGTTACTGTGATTTTTAATGAGTTAGGTAGGGTTCGGAGCACAAGGACATCCAAAATCTCGGAAACCATAAACCCGACGTGACAATTGATATTTAAAGATTAATAATCACATTAACAATCATTGTCAGGCTTTAAATTTTTAATTGTCACATTGCGTGATGTCAGTATTATGGCCTGTCGATAGTGTTCCGCACGGATCGGATCGGACGGATCTTTTTAAAGATCCGGATCCGATCCGAAAAACCGAATCGAATCCAAGTCCAGATTCGGATCCGAATAAGAAAGATCCGGATCCGGATCCGGACCCGATAAAAAAATTGTGCGCTATCGAATAGTTGATCAATATATCGCATCTCAATATATAAAGAAAACCATAGATTATATTTCGCTATCATTAGCTGCAACCGTGCCAAGAATACTCAATTAACCGCAAAATTTTTGTGTAATAGTGTTAAACTTTCTGAGGATACTGTACGTACATAACTTTAGACTATCTCCGTAATAAACGTTACATTGATCATGCCGAAATCAATAACTTATCGAATCGGCTGAATAATCATTCGATTAATTTTTCATAAGGTATCCCAGGAATAATGATAAC